TATTTTAGAATCAGGCATAGTACAACTCGGAAATCACTCAAGATATAGAGCCGCAGACACGTCCCGCGCAATATTCTCATTGCCCAGCGAGACAAACTATCAATAGTGTCTGAAAGATCACGCAAATTCATACGCAGTCTTACTGTAAGCCCTCTTTTGGTGAACGACCCCGACAGACAGGTATTGAGGCGATGAAACCTGGTTTGATATATGATGCGAAGAATCTTCTTGGACTTGTGTCAGCTCCGCAAAAGAATGTTATAGCTATTCGAGAAGCATACCGACCGACGTCGTTATAGGGTTTTGCCTCGTGTGGTGGCTGGCACTCCAATACATATGTGGTATCCTGTAACTTTTAGCCTTGTGGCCAGGGTTTGATGGACCCTCGTGTTCGATTCCGAGCCTTTGCCGCGTGATGCCGTGTGGTTGCCGGTCTATGGCAAAGCTCAAGCATGGTCTGCGGGGGTGGATTTGGGCGAGAAAAAGGTCTGGGAGTCTATGATTCATCAACCGAGATAGAAATTTCTGTATCTGAACTCCTTGTTTCAAAGTAGGTGAAAGGATCTTCTGCGACTTATCAGCAATGAGTATTACGATGTTATGATTACAAGGGGCCGGAAACCGCACGGCAAAGGATCGGAGTTTGAAAAAATCGAACACGAGGGTCCCTCGAACCCTGGCCACTAGGCTTTATATGTGAACGAGTATTCTCTTCACAAAAGACAGCTAGCTAGGCTATGTAACTTTAAGTCTAGTACTGCACATCACATGACCGAACTGCCCAGTTCTTGCCCAGTTCCTGCCCAATCATTGTCCAGTGATTACCTTGTAAAAATATCGCTCGAAATTTTTAATTAATCACGAGCGAAAAAGATAACCAATTTCGTTGTCTTTTTCGGACGAAAAAGATAACAGATTACGGGCGAAATTCTTATCGAAAAAAGATAATCAATTACAATAGATTTTTCAGACGAAATTATCAAAGATTTACGGGCGAAATTCTATTTGTCTTTCAATTTATTTTTCGCACGAAAAAGAGAACCAATTTCAACCGAAATTCTTATCGAAAAAGGTAAATAATTACAGCAATAATTTCGGAAAAAATTTCGCCCGTTATTATTTGACGCTGGCGTAGTGAGGAAATCCCGACGTGTAAAAGCTTGTTGCGCATCCAACTCACACGGGAGCCATCTTTTTGACTGCTGCAAGGCATTATCATAGAGAAGTATTCATATACGGTGGACCTTACTATGCTTCCAGGCCTTTGTACGACTTAAAAACTTCATTTATTATTGTACTCATCATTTCAGTCCATGCCGGCGTAGCCGGCCGCCAAAAATGTAGCATAAGCGCCCAACTTGCCGAATTTACGCCTTCACCAATTCTTTAGTCAATAAAATATTATACAGCTCGAAATAAGCCTATTAGTGTAAGCGGGCATGTAATAGCCAAAAGATATCAGAGATTCAGAAACAGGGAAGTGATATTAGGATGGACCAGAAGAAATACAGTTACAGTATTTGACGGCATGGGCCAAAAAAGCAAGGAAACTTAATATACAATGTCACAAATGTGAGCAACAATATCAAGTCATTCAAATATGTAAACACAGGGTGGTTTAGCTCTACTTATTAGCATAGGTACTAAGTTATTGGCCCAGCCTGAAGCCCGAGGCCTCGGCGGGTTTGCTTCCGTCTTGAGTCATAGGCCTCGGTATGACCAATTTGCCCGGTGCTGCGATTTGATTGTTTGGCGCATTTACATACTTCACATGTGGTAGAATAATCTAATTCTATCCTTTAACTGCCATCGTCGCGTCCCCGGTATGGTTCTTCGTCCTCTCGCATACCTGTGTTGCAACAAGCAGTGACAGCTTTTCCACCTCCGCTCAAGTTCAATCCTAGATGGTATAGACAATTCCATTCTTCAGGCTAATTCCTCTGGCCCTCCCGACTTTTCAAGCTTGCTCGCCTTTGCAAATTCATCTGAATTGGGTTAAATATCAATCTTCCATATAGTAAGATCAGCTTTATGATTGAGGTGAGGAGAACGACGGTCTGTCGACGCAAAATTTCCAGTAAAATGGGCTGTAGACAATCCTTGAGATCAGAGGCGCAGTAATATGGGAATGCTCTTTGAAATCTTAACTTGGTATCTACATATATCTATAATTTTTGTCGTCCTGCTCGCTAAACACCAATTTTTGTCACCATCTCCAAATCATGTTTCGTCTTGATCTCAGCACCAGCAACTACTCCTTCTGGCCATCGGATCTCCCTACTATTGATGCCACTAGGATAGGCCATTTTCCCGATTGCTCCCCCCCAGTCAAAGTCCACAAGCTTGACTGAAGGGAGGTGGGAGTCAGCAGATGCTCTCCTTATCAGAACGTTAACATCCCGCACGTCTCCGTGGACAAACCCTCTTTCGTGTAAACGTTTCACGGCATCCGTAATGTCCCCCCGCATGCTCCTCTGAGTTTGAATGTCCAGTTGGTCTGCAGAAACATATGTTTCAGATATATCGTCCATAACTGCCATATACCAGTCGTAAACCTCGTTGCCTGCAATAAGTTCTGGAGCAATGTTGGCATCCGAAGCGGCCCTGTGTGCATCCACCGAATAGCGACGTGTGAACTTGACAAGAACGCACTGCGAGTGGCCGTCCTTCATATGAGCGCGGTAGATGCGCTTTTTATTCATGAATTTACGCCGTTCCTGCTCCCAGCGCTCATAAGCAAAATAATACTTCTTCTCGTCAATTGTGTAGAAGTTGCAAAAGGGAAAGTCGATGTTAGAGCGAACTGGTTCCGTCTTGAATAACTGAGTGGAATAGTAGTCAGATAGCTTCTTGAATGCGACGCGTAGTGAGTAAACTAATCGCTCTCCGGCAGCAATGGTTTTTATATTGGTGGAATGTACATTCAAGGGGATTGACGTCAGAGTTTCAATGGTAGGTCTATCGGTAAAGACTGCTGCTGAAACGTTTATATCGGGGTAGTCGCTTACAGTGTAACTTACAGTCCTAAATAACGTCAAGTAGCATCTTTTCGTTGTTTCACCGTGGTCTTCCAAGTCTAATCAGCTTGAAGTTAACATTACGCAGTGCACGAATAAGCGTAGATACATACTTGCCAATAAGATTCCCCCAACGTTCATCAAGCTGTCCTTTTCTCAGGTCCAGGATCATTGTAGGAAGATATTCGCTGTAAAGAGACCTGACATCGCGTTATGAACAAGGATAGATGAAATATACAGTCATCTTGTCTTTGGCGGCCGTTTTTGCAGTCGTTGTGGCGTTTTTCTTCAATCCCTTCTCCTTCAATATGCACATACCCAAACATCACAAACTAGCCCAATACCACGTTTCTGGTTGAGCATACCAAAACTATACGCTTAGCACTGGCATATCCATCCCCTTTATTGCCCAAATTCTTTGGTACGTGCTGGATCTTTTCAAGGCTACGAAGGTGGTGAAATTTCTGGACATCAAACCTGTAGTAGATAGCCCTATCGTTCAGGATGACAAACTCAACGATGTCGCCCCAGATACTCGAGGGGCTCCCAATGCGGTACACAGTACTGGTCCAGTTTGGTGTCCCAGGTGAGCTGAACAAGCGTCTGAAAAGTAGTGACAATAACTTGTCGCGGCTTGCTGGAGCTCGTTGAGATACTTAAAACCCAGTAGTTAGCCACAGTTGTTTTTGTACATACATTATACCCATGTATCATCACATGTATTCAAGAGCGACATGAAGTTTCACTTTCATTTTGAAAACCATAATGAAAGCAGAGTGATAAGTCAGATCAAGTAAGATGATACAAAATGTGGATCAGGAATGAAAGAGTGCACAGAATTTACAACAAGACGTGCAGTGTGTCATAAGCAAAGCAGACCAAGACAGTAAAGCAAGTTATCACAAGGCGCGAGTGGTAGGTAACAAAGTGGTAGGTAACAAACAAGATGGATATATGTAGATTATTAGAACCAGATTTAGCATTCAAGCAAAGGGGGTAGGGCCTTGTTTGTTAGTTTGTTGGTAAGAGCAAAAACAGCCAACAGGTTGTAAGATACTTTCTTACAACAGATCCTGTTTCGCTTTTATAGCTCATCAGGGCTGTTTCACATCATCACAGACTTACACTGTTTGTCGATAGTACTTCTGGTACTTGACAAACTTTGCCTGTATCTTGGAACACATGTTTGAGCGTCGTTAGTGCCATTGGACAGTCCCACACTGCCAAGGGATAACAATACTCCTTATACATTAGATGCTTAGTGAGCGTCGTCCGATGTACGGTTGCATCGGCTAACTCGTAATCCTAATTAGTAAGACCAAAGCCCGAGAAGACGGACTTAGCATCAAAACCACTTGACATCTTGTGGGATTAGCACAAAACGCCGAGATCCGCCGGGGACAGCTATCGATCGAAAATCTTACGTCACCTTAAGCGCGCTACCTGTTTTAGCGCCCCAGGCGTCTACGGATCACTAGCCAACAGGCCGAGAAAAGAGACGCCCAAATTACGGGCCTAGCTTACTGGTTAGGGTTCGGCACGTAGTGCCGGTTATTAGAGGCATGTAGGGTCCATGTAGGGTTTTCTCAACCCTAGGGGAGGGGGGGGAGGGCCTAGGGGTGGCTTAGGAGTGGCCTAGGGTCTGCATGGCCCCTGGACATTCTGGCTTTGGAGGAGCGTAGGGTTTGGACTTGGTGGGCTAGGGGAGGGACTGTAGGGTGGGCAGGGTGCTGATATTAACATCAAGGTAAGGTGGTACACTGTGCACGTCATGGACGTGTCTGGAGGTGTATACACTGTGTACTCTATGATTTGCACAGATTCATGGATTACATGAATTTGTGCAAGTCATACAGTACACAAAAGCGATAAAGTACACAGTGCACATCAAGGTAAGTTCGTACACTGGCATTGATAGGGTACACCGCACACGTCGTGGACGTGCACGAATGTGTAAAACACAATGAAGAACCAAAAAATCATTGGCCAGAGAGGGAATCGAACCCCCGCCTACTTGATATGCGTTTTAGAACTAGCTGGATATTTTACCAAGTTGTCATTTACCACTAGACTATCTGGCCATAACTACTTCCCATGTAAAGCTGGAACTTATTAGCATACACAAGCCATACTCTATGACTTGCACAAATCATAGAGTACACAGTGCATACACCTCCAGGCACGTCCACGACGTGCGTGGTGTACCCTATCAATGCTAGTATACCACCTTACCTTGATGTGCACTGTGTACTCTATGACTTTCACATATCCAGGCATGTCTATGACGTGCACTGTGTACTTTATCAATACACAGTGCATACACCTCCAGGCACGTCTATGACGTGTGCGGTGTACCACCTTACCTTGATGTGCACTCTGTACTTGATCACTTTTGTATACTCTATGACTTCCACACATCCAGGCATGTCCATGACGTGCATGGTGTACACTAGGACCCCTGATACATCCACATCCATGAATTTGTCCAAGTGGTAAAGTACACAGTGCATGTCATAGACGTGCTTGGATGTGTGGAAGTCATAGAGTACACAAAAGTTATCAAGTATACAGTGCACATCAAGGTAAGG